TGGCACAGGAATGTTTAGCAGTATAATTAATGACGCAAAATGGGCATATAAAAATTTGTGCCCCTGATTCATACATGCTCTTTTGCCGCTCTAGCCGTGAAACGCATCATCATACAGCCGGTCGCGGAAACTCTTAATCTATAGCAATTCATTAACCTCGGAACATTCATAGACAATCGTGGCGATATCAAGCACGGCTTCAAGCATGTCTGAATCACATCACAAAAGCTTATTGACAGCACTCCATATGACCGTGGAGTGCGCGGCCGCGTGGACAGTGCAGCCGGCGCCTAATGCACTTGCCGGCAGCATTCGGTGACGATGCGCGAAATGTGTAACTACGATGAAAAAAAATCGGGGGGCACTGCGCTTGGCATCACATTTTCGAATGACGACGCGCGAAACTGCTAGCCGCTGTTCCGAGCCATCCTTGGCAGCGAAAGGGGGGGGGGGGGGGGCAAGCTTGACGGTGTTGCCCGCTGCCGATGCGCAAAATGCCCGTACGCGATTCAGAGGAGCTAGCGAGTGATGTGCTACATTCCTTGTGAAAAAGCACGTCCCCAAGAGTGCGCTTGCGCATTGTTCCTGCCCGCAGTTTCGCTGTCAGCGGAGTTAGGGTTAAAACCGACTCCGATGGCGCGCCGCACTTGTAGACCGCATGCACGCTCGAAGTAATCTGATCGTGCATCCGGTGCGGCCACTCGTAGTAATCAGATCGTGCCTCTGCTTACAGCTTCGTTGCTTGCGAAGAAGCACGTCGCCACGAATACGCTAGCGCGTCGTTCCTGCCTGCAGTCTTGCTGTCAGCGGAGTTAAGGCTAAAGACGACTTCGATGACGCGCGGTGCTCGGTAGACCGCAGCGCCCGCTCGTAGTAGCCTGATCGCGCATCGGCTTACTGCTCGTAACTAAAGCGTAATTATATCTTAATTGATCATCAAGCTGTGAACACGTCATGAAGTAGTGATTTTCGAGAGCCATGTCCTCGCGACGCACAAGCAGCAGACGACAATCTCCCGGAGCGAGCATTGGGCCAATGGCGAGGCGAGCTGAGGCGTATGTCCGTATGTCCGGTTTTCAAGGGTGGTAATGACCAAGAGATTGGAAACTACCGACCGATATCGGTACTTCCGATTCTGTTAAAAGTTTTTGAAAGCGCTATTGATATTAGATTACAAAAATTTTTTGCGAAGTATACAATGTAATAAGTGATGCCCAATTTGGCTTTCAAAAATGTAAATCCACCGAGCTTGCATTACTCAATATTAAAAACGAGATACTAACCAATTTTGAGAAAAAGCTATATACTCTTGGTCTTTTTGTTGACTTCCGCAAAGCATTCGACACCGTGCACCCCAGTGTTCTTTTAGAAAAACTTAATAACTACGGTGTCCGTGGCGTTGCCAATAGGTTAATTCAAAATTACTTAACAGACCGCTATCAGTATGTTGCTATTAATCAAGAGACATCTCCCCGTGCGAGGGTCAACAAAGGTGTCCCACAAGGATCGATACTTGGCCCTTTGTTGTTTATAGTTTATGTAAATAACTTGTGTAGCATTCCGGATTCTCCTAAGTTCATCATGTATGCTGACGACACCAATATATTTTTTGCTGGTTCATCGATCTCTCAACTTGAAAAGTCTGTAAACACATATCTAAAAAAGTTGTCTTCCTGGATTAAACTAAACAAGTTGCGGCTAAACGCGAGTAAAACTAAATATATATTGTTTGCACCCATTAATAAGCCACGGAATATAAGTCTAAGTGTCTCCTTTGAGGGTCAGACTTTAGAACAAGTCAAGGTACAGAAATTCTTGGGTGTGTGGTTGCAGGAAGACCTTTCCTGGAATGAACATATAAATAAATTGGCAGCAGATCTAAGTAGAAGCGTTGGATGTATGTACAAACTATGTCCGTTATTACCACTTTGGCTAAAGAAAGCGTTATATTATACACTGATATATTCCAGGCTAAGTTATTGTGTCTTATGTTGGGGAACAACGACGGCTCAAAACTATAAAACATTACTTACACTACAAAAGAAGGTACTAAGACTATTCGAGGGATATTACGGTATGCCACAAGGTCTTAGCGCACGTCCGTTATTCCCTAAATATCTCATATTACAAGCAAACCAAATATATTATTATAAGTTATTATTGTATATCCAAAATAATAAACTATACCCCATGTACGATTCTTCTCGATGTGCTGAGTACTATCTCCGTATACATAGTATAAGAACACCGAAAACTAGCACAACCTATGGCCAACAACATATTGATTATCAAATACCGAGTCTCCTCAACAAACTGGGTGACGTACTTGACCTAAATAAGAAAACTTCCAAAAATAAGTTCAAGGAATTTCTCCTTTATAATTGTATTGAATACACTTAATACAGCAATTTGGATTATTTATTACTTTCTGTGTCCCAATTGCTTAGAGTACACTATTTGTGTCCTTTTGTTGTTGTTGTTTTTTTTGCTTATTGTTTGTTCAAGGTGCTTAGGAATGTATGTGTCTCCAGATGCTTTCCTTACCTCACCTATTGTATATATTGCGATGTTTTTTAGGTATTTCATTACTATTTACTGTCCTGTTCTTTCTTTATATTTGTGATGGTTACATGTGTGATCAGAATTTGCAAATTGTATCTGTATATAATGATGTTCTCTAATTGTGGCTAAGTTGTGTATGACATGTTATTTTTCGTTTTTATTTTATTATATTTTGCCAGACTGTATTTCGGAGCAAAAGCCTCCGTCAGGCTATGTAGCCTTTTGCTTTTGCTTCGTTTTTTCTGTTGCACGTACAGAAAATAAATCTCAAATCTCCCTCTCTCTCAAACACGGCGGCCACGGCCAATCAAGGGCCTCAAAACGACCTTCAAACATTTGCTTTTTGTGCGCTTGTTGTTAAAGGAAGGAGCCAGCCGAGGCGGGAAAGTTAAACACGGAGAAATCCTCTTTCCGATGAGCCCAAGAAGCCAGCTCCCGGCCCAAGCATCGCGAAGCTACAATTTTTTGAAAATCGCCGTTTTCTCGCCATTTCGAGAAAAAGTTTTACTACATAGGTGGGTGAAACAAATTTTCCAAAGAACTTCTGCACGGTTTTCAGTGTAGATACTTTGGAACCAGATAGAAAAAGGGTTCCAGAAACTGAAAGCTTGAGTTTCAAAAAATCGATTTTTTTGCCATTTTTCGCGATCTCAAAGCCGCGTCCCCCCTTAAAGAAAAATGCAGGTGAGGGTTTCGTGGATAATAGAAATGGCTTCGCAGACCCCCCCCCCCCCCCATTTGAGAACCACTGCCTTAAAGCTCTGTGGGCGAAAACCGAATGAAACAAAGGAGGCACGTGGCAATAAGGTCGATTACGTGTCACAAGTGTCCTGACATACTGTATACTTATCTTACACAGTGGTTTAGGGTTATGACTGGTGCGCTTGAACTGATTGATGATGTAGACAGTGGATGACCAACGTGGCCTCCATTTCTCTTTCAAGTTATCGCAATTAAGAAAATGTTTAGACAGGACAGACATTTTGGCACAGCATGGCGCAATTTCATCAAATTTCACAGTTTTGATGCAACACGGCGGGCGCAACAATAGAAAATTCTATCAAACTGGCGCAATTGGCACAGCTGTTACACCCCTATCTGCATCTTCGAAGTGCACTCACATCGTCGACATGCAGAATAAACTGACCCAATTAAGTGCGCTGACAAACTTCTTCAGCAGTTATGCATTTTCTTTCGTCCGGACGCAACGTCGAGCCCCTTCACGTAGCCGCTAGACATTGCTCTAAACACACCGTAAGAAACGCACCAAAACAGCAACTCAAGCACACCAGAAGTCTTCGTGGGCAGCCTTTCAGCACGAGCCAGAGTGGTTAAAAACACCAAAACCATCTATACTGCACAAGCCGGCTTGTTTTCGGCATTGCCTTCGAGCCACCACTTTCCGCACCCACAACTCCGAGTCTGCAGGGAATTTTCGACGTTCTTCCCCCACTTCCCACAGCCTCTGCTCCAAAGTGGCTTGTCAGCGGCATTGCCGTTAAGCCCCCCCTTCACACACCATCATTTTCACCCAAAAGAGAAAATGTTTCACGTTTGTCATTAGGTAACGTGCTAAAGCGATTATTCTTTACCGTCATCAGTGTTATCGCCGGTCACAGATTGGAATTCTTTGCAAACAGCATATTCAGCTCCGACGACCTTGTTACCGCTTTTATTTTCCATCTTCCTACCGCATGTTTTGATAACCCTATCTCTCAATAATTGTCATACTAGTTTAGTCATTCGTTTTGTTTTTTTGTGTTTGCCCAATGCATTGTTTTCATATATAATTTTGTATTGTGCATGAAGCCCATCCTGCTTAAGCCAAATGTTGGCTTGTGGTACTTCAAATAAAAAAAATAACAACACAGAATCCTAGACCATAATAGGAGATAGCTGGTACGTCTTCATGCTTGTGATGCGATGCAAAGTACGACACAGAGCATAAAAAACTAGAAACGAAACAGGGTGATGCACATCACCCCGTGTTGTGTATTTTTTTTTTCTGGTCTGTGTCATACCTTGCCGCGCATCACAAGCACCTAGACCTTAAAGTTCTTTACCTCTAAAACATCGCACACACACGCCATGACATTCGACAACGCACTCATTAAGCCAGCTGGAGTGAAAATATCACAAGGCACACTGCAGGGCATTCGAATTTTTCAGCGTGAGAGAGAGAGAGAGAGTGAAAACAAAGGCCGGGAGATTAACCATATATTGGCATCCGGTTTGTGCCCAGCACTGGGGGTGGGGAAATGGGGCAAGAAAGAGGGTGAAAGAGAGAGAGAAAAAAATGCACGTGCAATCAAGAGAAAACAAAACTTCTCAATTTGCATTACTTCAATGAGATAAGTGGCAGTGCTGTGACGGTGTGAGAATAAACAGGCATGTCCGAACTTTTAGTGTCCAAATAAACGGTCAGCAACTCTACTCACCCCTGTGGTGGATCAAGCACAATGGCTCGAGGTTCCGCAAGGCCCTCTGCAATAAGGACCTTGCGTGCGGTGCCATTGAGTCGGGCCACCTCAATGCGGTCAGTGCCCGTGTCTGTCCAGTAGAGGTTGCGTGCCACCACATCTAAGGCCAGTCCATCAGGGTGCTGCACTTCGAGGGTCACCACAGCCTCCTGGCCCGTACCGTTGAGGAATGCTCGCTGGATCAGACAAAGCTCGTCGTCCGTCCAGTAAACCCGGCCTTCGACTGGGTCATAATCCAGCGCTATGGCGTGCTTGAGACCTCGCAGAGGCAAAACCACATCAGTGTAATCCGGCGTGTCCAGTGAGATACGTCGCAAATCCTTGCGGCGTGCCAGAAGTAGAATCTCCTCTGCACCTACAGTTAAAATGATGGCAAGGGCCAGTTATGAAGAAGTGCATATCGACACATATCTACGCATTTGTAGAAGTAAATATTACGCGCAAGTACATATCTATTTTTTTCTTGCTTTATATGAGTAGTGTAATCTCTAGCACCACTTTTTATTTTTGTTTTTTTTTTTTCATTCAGTGTATACCTGTGATACTTTATGGTCACTGTATTGGTGCACTATACAAAATGTACCACAATCCTTTGCTATACGTAATCATGCTGTTCTAAAAGGATTTCTCTCAAGCATGGTTTCTGCGGCTTTTCTCCCTCATCCCCATCTATGCTGCACATATAAATGTGCACTAGCCAAAGCACTGCAATTATGTAAAAACCACTCAGTAAACTGAAGCCTTAACTAGCAGTTAAAATTCGTGGCCACAGTTTCCTGAATGAAGAAGCCATTCAAAATGAAGCCTCATCATCATTGCCTTCCACAAATAAAAAAGTGGGGCATTCCGTGTCTGCTAGCGAAAAACTGCACAAGGGAAGATTGTGCTTCCTTCTCAAGACAGCAGTTATTCATGACCAATGCACAGGATTGGTTCAACATCCAATGCAGAAATAGAAAGGACGCCTCAAGTGGCAGTACATAGAAACAAATGTCAGTCGACAAAAACTGACCCGCAGTAAGATGATGGCTCAACTTCAATAACGAACCTGACAACTAGCAGTCAAACTCCATATATTCACGGAGTAAATTATGTAGTGGAGAAATGTTTTTCAGTCAGAAGAAGCTCGTGAGTACTCGAAAATCTGGTTGCCTTCATGTAAGCTTGCTTGGCGGGATCACTTGTAAGTACAGTTGAACCCATATAAAACAAACCAAAAAGTGCTGCGATAAGTGGTCACTATATCAATAGTTCGTTGTATATGAACCTGCCCATAAAAACATGCACTTAGTGACCAATTGTCTTTTTGAGTGTAAGTGTGTGAGTACGGCGGTGGCAAAACCGAAGGTCGCGCTGCAGTAACACATCGGGGCCATTTTTTTAGCAGATACGCGACCCGGTGTTTAAGATGGACGTCCGTGGCCGATGAACGCGTTGGCAGCTGGCCTCCACGATGTCTTGTACACCCATTGCCTGTGGCGCACACCCACTGTGGGGCATTGACCAAGAATTGAGTGGTTTGATAAAATAGTATGAAGTTTTATAATAATTGAGGTTTTATAATATAAAAGATTACAGATTACCTAGGGAATCATGGTGCTTGATCTAATGCATGTAATTGTTTAAATTTCTCGGATGTTGTTTTCTTCAGGACATTGCACATACCCGATCGAGTAGAATGGCCAAAAAGTAAGTGAATTTCACTTATACATTGTGTACATTGTTTCATTCCTAAGTGCGCCAGCTAATTATTCAATGATTTGAAGTGCCACTCACCAGTAAGGAAATATGTAATGCACAAACAATTTAACAAGTGACTCGCTTAGTTGCAGTGATATATTCCCGAACGGCAAATAGAACATCCCCGTAGCTGTACACCAAAGAAGTAGCTTCTAAAAAAGGAACAGGTTCCGACAATTGCAGATCATTTCCAGAGATGCGATACTATTATGCTTTTCCTGAAAGTATTGTATAGGCAATAAGATAGTGAAAAAGAAAAAAAAAAAGCCATCGCCGAATCACCGCATGATAAAGATTGTGGAAGAGAGTAAAGTGCGGTCAAATTGGTTTTGCGATGCGTTAACCAGAGAGAGGAAGCGGCGATGGCATAGTGGGTAGAGCATCCGCCTCGCATGCAAGAAGTCCGTGGTTCGAATCTGAGTGCCGCGCAGTTCCCAACCAGATAAAAAAAAATCCGCATGGCGATGGAACTGCATTAAGAGGCCTGGGGTGCGGCGTCACCGGTGACCACCGCCGGTAACGCACTCCCTCACCAGAGGAGAATTGGCCAACCTGGTTCAGTATTTGGCCACTACCTCCCACATGCACACGTCAATTAACTCACGGTCCTCAGTCCCCAGCAGCTGCGAAGCAACTGACTACGGCGGCGGTCAGATCTGCAACGCAGCAGAGGGTGCTAAGAATCTCTGGATCCGGACAGGCCGCCATTGGAACCTGAATTTGGCAACGTTTAATGCTAGAATCTTATCTAGTGAGACAAGTATAGATGTACTATTCGAGGAGCTAGAGGGTGTTAAATGGTATATAATAAAGCTCAGTGAGGTTAGGCGGACAGATGAGGCCTATATGGTGCTACAGAATGGGCACGTCCTTTCCTAGCTTGGCTGACAGAAGAGAACTGGAATTGGGGTTCCTTAATCACAGAAACATAGCTGGCAACATAGAGGAATACTATAGCATTAATGAAAGGGTGGTAGGTATCGTAATTCAACTCAATAAGAGATGCAAGATAAAGGTGGTACAGGCTTATGCGCCTACATCCAGCCATGATGACGCTTCAGTTGAAAGCTTTTATGAAGACGCGGAATCGGCAATGAGTAAGGTAAAAACGCAGTATACTATAGTGATGGGAGACTTTAATGCAAAAGTAGGGAAGAAGCAGGCTGGAGACCAGGCAGTGGGAGATTGTGGCATCGGTACTAGAAATGCCAGAGGAAAGCTACTAGTAGAATTCGCAGAAGGCAATAATTTTAAGATATTGAATACCATCTATTGAAAACGAGGAAACCGTAAGTGGATATAGAGGAGCCCTAATGGCAAAAATAAGAACGAAGTAGACTTTATAATGAGTGCACACCCAAGCATTGTGCAGGATGTGGAAGTGCTTGGCAAGCTACGATGCAGTGCCCATAGAATGGTACGGTCTCGAATTCGCCTAGACTTGAAAAAGGAACGACAGAAACTGATACGCAAGAAGCCAACCAAATGAGTTAGCACTCAGAGGGAAAGTAGAGAAATTCAGAGTCTCACTTCAGAACAGGTACTCTGCTCTTATCGAGGAAACCGATGATGATATATGGTGTTTTTGGCGCAAGGGCCATTTGATGGCCAAAGAGCAGCCAGTTCATGCGACAAGGAATGTGGACAATGATTGTGATTAGCGGCTGTATAAGGGCCATAAAATTCTTCGCGGTAAGGCGGGTAAAAACATACAAGTAATAAAATCATGACCATGCCGTGAAAGGTGTGTGTGGTGTGAATAGATAACAAAAGATGGTGATAATAAAAAACGATGGTGTATATGTATGGCATTAGCACAAGTGCCTCACTGGTTCATACCCTTGCGTGCAAGGGCCGTGAGGCAAGTGCTTTCCTGTGTAGCCACCGCAGCAAAAACCTCCCTGGAGAGGTCGTGCTACGGGATGCCCGGGTATATGATATGAAAATTACGAATTTCTTTTAAAAAAGCTAACAATGATTTATGACTAAAAAGCGGTTCCCTACCAACGAACATTGCAGGGTGTAAAGGTATATGTTGTCGGTAGGGTAATGGAAAATGCTGTTTTCTTATAGTTTCTAAGTGTTTACACTGGATTAACACGTGAAGGACGGTTAATGGTTCACCACATCTGTCACACAATGGTGGATCGCCACCAGACAAAAGATAAGTGTGTGTCGTGTATATGTGTCCTATCCTGAGTCTCGTTAGTATAACCTCTGTATGACGCGATTTTGATACTGGCAGCCAATGACCAAGGTGTGGCTTAATAATGTGTAGTTTGTTTTGTGTGTGTGTATCCCATTTGCTCTGCCAGTAGTCCCTGATGTTTCGTTTGAGAGACGGCTTAAGATCAAGGGCCGTGATTAATATGGGTGTAGGGCAAGTGCTTTTGTGGACGGATGCTGCAAGCTGATCCGCCCTCACATTGCCTTGGATCTCACGGTGCCCTGGCACCCAGCACACTAAAACATGTTGTTTTAGTGTGTAGAGTGTGCACAAAATGGAGTAAAGTGAGACAAGGACCGGGTTTTTTTGTTTTTTAAGACTGTGCAGAGCCATTACCACACTGAGGGAGTCTGTATAAATTACTGCTTTTTGTATTTGTAGTTGTTTGATGTGTTTAGCTGCCACAAGTATCGCGTAAGCTTCTGCTGTGAAGATACTTGTGCCTGGATGTAGAGGGCCAGCATCTGAAAAGGATGGGCCGACAGCAGCGTAGGACACAGAGGAGTTGGACTTGGAAGCATCTGTAAAGAACTCAGGACGTGTGTATTTGTGTTGAAGTTCAAGGAAGTATGTTCGGATATGGGCAATAGGCGCATGTTTTGTAACTTCTAGAAAGGACACATCGCAGTCTATAGTCTGCCATTGCCACGGTGGCGGATATGCTACAGGAGCCATTAAACTGTGTTCTAGTGAGACTCTAGTTTCCTCGGCTAGACTTTTCAGGCGAACTGAGAAGGGCTGCCTCATCGAAGGCCTGTTTTGAAACAGAAATGAGCTCGACAAATCGTTAATAGTAGAGTATGAGGGGTGCTTTTTATCTGCTTTCACCTTAAGGAAATAAACAAAAGACATATAAGTTCTATGCAGATGAAGCGACCACTCATTTGACTCAACATAAAGGCTTTCTACGGGGCTGGTGCGAAAAGCACCCGTAGAAAGGCGGATGCCCAAATGGTGCACGGGGTCCAGCATCTTCAAAGCACTTTGAGTTGCAGACTGATAAACAACGGCCCCATAATCTAAGCGGGTGCGAATGAGGCTTCGATACAGATTTATGAGGCATTGCCTATCACTACCCCAAGTAGTACGTGACAGCACTTTTATAACATTCATGGCTTTTAAACATTTTATTTTTAAATTCTTCATGTGCGGAACGAAGGTCAGCTTGTTGTCCAAGATTAAGCCTAAAAATTTATGTTCGGCTTTGACGGACAGACGTTGCCCGTTCAGTCGAATATCAGGTTCAGAGTGCATGCCTCTCTTTCGAGAGAACAAGACACACATGCTTTTTTGTGGGTTAAGTCGAAATCCGTTTTCATCTGCCCATTTGGAGACCTTGTTTAAGCCCAGCTGAACCTGCCGCTCACACATTGCCAAGTTGCATGACT